GAGGAGGTTATCAGTTCGTCGGAATCTTTTTTTTTTTTTTTTTTTTGATGTATGTTACCGATTTCGATAATTCTTACTTGTTTCCATTTTATCTACTTGCGCGTTTGAAAAGATATTGAAATTACAAGATAGAAGCTGTATTAGGGTAGTCAAAAAAAAAAAATTTATAAATAAATAAATTAATAAATGGAGTAAATAGGTTTTCAGAGTAGTAGTAAGAATAAAGAGCTAAGTTAATAGTTAATAGTTTAAGTAGTAGAAATAATCTGAATTTAAGTAGATTTTATGGTAGTAAGTAGTATACTTAGTGAATAAAGATTGTATATATATATTTCAGAAAAAAAGGAATGCACGTTGTCATTGTTTATAGGTGAAGCAAGAGTTAGGCCAGATGGCGTGCTGAGTTTTCTGCCATTTGGTGTTGGTGTTGCCCTCGTGGCGACTTGGCAGGCAAAAGGGGATGTTAGACCTAGGCTAACTGACGAACTAGGGACTTAACTGGACTGATAGACTGACGAAATAAGGTCAGGACTAGGGAACTCCACTTCTATGTTTTGGAGCCAAAGTGGGGTTCACGGCTGTTTGCTATACAGACAGATGGGGTGGGACGGCTCCCTCCTGACAGGACTGGCCTTCTACCGCTTTCCTTTTTCCCGCAGTGTTGTCTCTCGTTTCCATTTCCTCTATCCGGCATGATTTTTTTTGTTTGTTTATGGCTGTGGGCTGAAAGGAACGGCATGAACCACGACAAGGGCTGACGAGCTAAAGCCGGGCTACAACCATGTCGACCCGCCGTGACTTCCAGTCCAGTACAAGCAGTTTCATAACAGATTTTCAATACCTGATAAGGCAAGCAGTGCCGCCAGATCAATTAAAGCAATTGGCATGTTGATACGTCAACCAGTTTCCGTAATCATATTTTGCAAATATGCAGAAGCAATTATAAATCTCATTATACTTTTAGCAATCTACATCATAGAAATGTTTGTGGTGAAAGAGTATGGTTTGTGAAAAAGTGTCGTTTTTACTGGCGTATAGGTTCTCATATTTAAAATCAGCAAAGAAAACACCGTGCGACAGTAAATTTTACACACAAAAAAAGAATATATTCGCGAAACTATGGGTAAAGTATAGTAAAACTGCGTTCTTAGTTTTTCTCTCTGACGTCAGGATTTTTTTAAAGGACTTTGAAATTTAATAAATATGATTATTTCAAAAAATTATTTAAAGATTCAGTGCAATGTAGGGTATCATATAAAAGAAAAAATTCTGTAGAACTACTTATAACCGAATAAGTCTTTTGGTGCATAACCGTCGTTATGGTTATGGAAAATGTCCTTTACATATTTTGTCCTTAAATATCCATGAAAATTTGCAATATTTTTTTTTTATTATTGTTTGAGGACTAGGGTTGCCAACATTTTCTCAGATATTTATAGTACCTTTTCAAAAAAATTGGAAAAAATATACACTTCAGATATGAATATATAGTATTTTATTTAGAAGAAAAAGTAAAAACGATTTTTAAGTGATGCAAAATTTATTCCTGTGAATGCCGAAGTTGTTGGAATAGAGAGCAGAAATGAAATAATTTTAAGTAAATTTGTTAATTCTTTCTCAGTTATGTTACCTTTTTTAATTATAAACTGTTGGGGTAGCTAGTTTGCACCCAAAAATTACGCAAAAAACCGAAACGAAGAATTATGCCAAAAACTAAAAGAAAAAACCAAAGTCAAAAATGCAGGGCGGCAAAACTAAAACCAAAACTAAGCGAGCGAAATTAAAAAGATGTTGCTGCGTGGGTGTCACAAAGTATATTGATTTAAAATTTTACATAAATTAGGCTTACAAGCTAAGTTTGAGTATGCATATAATATGTATGTATGTGCGTATGTATGCATGCACTGGAAGGCCACGCAGGGCTGCATTAAAATAGTAATTCAATTTATCTTTAAGGATGTACCGAAGATGTACATCTGAAATTAGATACAATACATTCAACTGATACAAATTCAATAACTTTAAGCATAAGCATGCATAAATACTTATATACATACATAAGTACATATGTACATATTTAGTGTGGATAAAAATTCAATTGAAGTACAATTCATTGGCTGCGTTTCTTTATACATTCCGGATAATCCCATTTCACAGCCGGAATAAACAGAATACGTTTGAAATATACGTTAACATATCATCAGGAACGTTCTAAAGAATAAGTAAACAAAAAAGTTTATTCCAAATGTTCAGAATGAATAAAGAAATTCAGCCATTAACAAATTAAATTTCATAGAAAGAGATAAACACTACTGTGCTGCAACATTCCGCCCCCGTTGAATGACCATCGGTCTTCAAGTAGTTATTTGGGAGCAGCGAAAGCTTGTGAATGGCACGCCGATAAATGCCCGCCGTTGTTTTAATGTCTTACCGTCGGCGCCAGTTTTTATATCTATTACTCGACCAGTGAGCCACTTTTGGGGAGGCAAATTCTCTTCGTGTATTATGAGCAGGTTGCCGATTTCGATGTTGGCTTGCGGCTTGGCCCATCGCGTTCTGGTCTGAAGACCCAGGATGTAATCCCGTTGGAATTCTGACCAGAATCGTCCCTTCAGGTATGATACTCGCTGCCAGCGATCTAAATATGTCCAGTTGTTGGCTGTGGCTCGGGAACGGCCATTAGGGAATCGCCTATTAATAAATGTGCGGGCGTTATGGCTTCGCCGCCGTTGGAATCGTCTGATCCCGCGATTGGACGAGAGTTCAAAATTGCCTCCACGCCGACGAGTACGGTGGAGAGCTCCTCGAACGTTAGGGCGGTGTCGCCTATTGTGCGAAGCATTAGGTGTTTGGCGCTCTTGACGGCTGCCTCCCACAGTCCGCCAAAATGAGGTGCTCGCGGGGGTATAAAAACGAATTCGGCTCCTCGCTCTGCGGCGAACGCTGCGACTTCCTTGCGATTGCCTTCCCCGAACTTTTTTTCTTTCTGCTCTTTCAATTTCGCGTTGGCGCCCACGAAGTTGGTGGCGTTGTCGCAATATATCCTCACTGGAACTCCCCGACGACCGACGAACCTTTTAAAGACAGATAAAAATGCATTAGTGGATAAATCAGACACAGATTCTATGTGTACAGCTTTAGAATTAAAGCACACGAATATGGCAATGTAGCTTTTATAAGGAGGTCGGCCTCTTATTTTATGTGTTGTATAAACTGGACCAAAGAAATCAACTCCACAAATAAGAAATGGTCGAACCGATCGCAACCTGTCTGGCGGTAAATCACCCATTATTTGGTTCATTAATTTGGGCTTGTATCTGAAACAAAGTATGCAGTTGTGTACTACTTTTCGCGCTAATTCTCTAGCATTTATGACCCAGATTTTCTGGCGCATTAATCCGACTAGTACTTTTGGGCCCGCGTGGCAATTCGACCTATGTAAGTATTCAACATATTTATAAACGAAATTTGAAGACTTTAACAACAATAGCGGAAATTTAGTATCTTCAGGAAATTCTGAGTTTTTTAAGCGGCCTCCAACTCTCAGCAGTGATAAACTGCGATTTTCTTCGTGATGTGGCTGAATAAATGGACTGAGATTTTGGATATTATCTGGCGGAAATTCGTCATTTTGTAATTTTGCAATGACGTCACTGAATTCAACTCTTTGAACAGACTCAACAATTTTGAGAAATGACCAGTTGTATTCAGCGGTAGTTATTTCAATACTTTTAGTATTTTTTAGAGGCTTCATTAGTCTATATATGTAAGAAACGATGCGTAATGTTGCGACTTCACCACTTATAAGAACGTTTTTAATGTTTTTAGCTCCAAGTGCGGATTTTTCACTAGAGGTTCAAAGTTCGTATTTTTTAGCCAATGAACTTTTTCTGTTTTAAGAAACTAGGACCTTCTAGCCATAACGGCTGAGTTAGTTCCTCAATAGTACAACCACGAGACGCCAAATCTGCTGGGTTTTGCTTTGTTGGAACGTGTCTCCAAGTTACATCGCTTGTGCTCTCTTGAATCTCCGCTACTCTGTTTGCGACAAATGTGAATAAAGTTGAAGAGTGCTTTTTTAACCAATAGAGCACTATTTCTGAGTCGGACCAAAAAGTTATATTTTCAAACGAGTTTTTGAATAGCGGCTTAACAACTTTCCACAGTTTTGTCAATAGTAGCGCCGCACAGAGTTCCAATCGAGGAAGACTTTTTGTTTTCAACGGTGCCACTTTGGATTTGGCTGTCAATAGATGTGACGTAACAATACTGTTCTGTTTGCTTCGAACGTATATAGAACAACCATAAGCTCGTTGCGAAGCATCGCAGAAGCCATGTATTTGAACTTTCTCAGTGGGTAATATATTAACAAATCGGGGTACTTCTATTTTGTGTACCTGTGCCAAATTTTGCCATGAAGTGCTCAAATTTTGGGGAAGTGACTCATCCCATCCAACTTTTAGAGCCAGAGTTCCTGCAATAAAATTTTGACATGTACAATGCTAGGGATAAGATACTTCTTTTTGTCGCTTTTATATTTAACGACTTTGGATCAATTTTGAAGTTTTTCGTTTCTTTCTAAGGCGACCACGTAACTCCAAGCGCGTATATCGTGCTATTTCCGTCATCTTCCAACGCTTTTTCATAATTCTCCTTTTCTAGTAGACTGGGATGATTGGAATGCCACTTTGCTAGTTTAAATCCTCCAGAGTTTAAAATTTCGACAACTTCTTTTTGGATTTGCTTTAGTTCCGTAATATCATTGGCTCCAGATAACATATCATCCGCGTAAAACTCTTCTCGTATAACCTTACAACCGAGTGGATATTGATCTGCAAACATGTCACTCAGGTGTTGTAAACAACGAATCGCTAAAAATGGAGCAGGCGCTGTTCCGTAAGTTACTGTATTTAGGCAATACGTTCGAATCGGTTCATCGGGACTATGTCTATATAAAATTAATTGAAATTTTTTGTCATCATCACTAATAGCTACTTGACGGTACATTTTTGTTATATCTGCGGTTATAGCCCATTTTCGACAACGAAAGCGTAATAATGTGGTGAATAATTCAGGCTGTATAGTTGGCCCAACCATCAGAAGTTCATTTAATGAAACATGTGTCGTACTTTTACAAGACGCATCAAATACTACTCTCAGTTTAGTAGTTTCAGCATCTGGTCTTAATACGCACTGATGTGGAATAACATAATGTGGAAAATTTAAGTCTATGTCCTTTATTTGTGACATGTGGCCTAGTTGAATATATTCTTGCATAAAATCATTGTACATATTGGCTGCGTTTCTTTATACATTCCGGATAATCCCATTTCACAGCCGGAATAAACAGAATGCGTTTGAAATATACGTTGACATATCATCAGGAACGTTCTAAAGAATAAGTAAACAAAAAAGTTTATTCCAAACGTTCAGTATGAATAAAGAAATGCAGCCATTGTATACATCTGGCGTTCTTAATAATTTTCGTTCAAGTGATAAAAATCTTTTACGGGCAATATCAAATGTTAAACCAAGGGTTGATGGGTCTTTTTTAAATGGCAGTCTTACTTCAAAACGACCACTAGGCAGAATTTTTAAATTTTCTCTAAAATGCGACTCGCAACTCAATTGTTCTGGCGTTAAATTCGACTCCCAACTTGGAACCTCCTCTATTTCCCAAAATCTTTGTAGCAGCACGTCTACGCCTTGATCGTCCAGCACATTTTCTTCGCCTGTGACTGCAGTCAAATCACATATCGCCCGTTGCAATTTTGGGCTGGCGTTGCATCTGCCTGACACAATCCATCCAAGTTTTGTCTTTTGCAACGTAAGCAAATCCGAATTTAGTTTTATTTGACCAACTGATAATAAATTAAAGAAAATTCCTGCTCCAAGTAACACGTCAATTCTTTGGCGTTTGTGAAAAAGTGGGTCTGCTAACTCCACATTAGGTGGAATATTCCAATCAACAGTGGCTATATTTTCTTTAGGTTGATAGCCCGAAATTGATTTAATGACCCAAAACTCACCACATTCCTAATAATTATTAATGCGAGATTTTATGGAAGTTGAAACTTTGCCCTTAATATTGGCCTCAATTTGCCCAACTCCAGCTATTTGCAGTTCTTTGCGCTCTCTTTTCAAATTAAGCCTCTTCGCTGTCTCTTCACTAATCAAATGTCAACTATGTATTCGCCGCATTGGTTGTTGATATTAACTAGAGCCGTTGCCAGTATGACAACCTCTTCTGAGACCGAAACATCGCTTACTGAACCTTGAGGTCTATTTGTGGCGGAAGGAGCATTCTGTGCAGATGAAGCTGTCTCATATTTATGAAGTAGCGAATTATGTGGACGTTGGCAAAACCGACAGCGCGCGGAGCGGCAAGAAGAAACGCTATGGCCCATTTTTAAACAATTTATACAAAGCGCGTTTTTCTTAGCAAAATTAAATCTTTCTCCTACTGCAATATTTGCAAACGAACTACAAGTTATGATTGAATGTCCCTTTATTTTGCAATATGAACACTTATTGGCATTCGCTTCGGTTAAGCTAAATTATGCTTTTTCATTACGCCGTTCTATAGGTTTGCCATTCTTGAAATTCGAAGGTTTAGCTGGCTTATGCTCATTAACCTCTAGTGATTGACAACGCCTTATGAGAACTTTAGCGCAATCATTCCATGTTGGCAGTTTTGAGTAATCTAACTGATCGTTCCACCTTGCCCTTGTTGGCACATCAACCTTAGACATGGCTAAATGAATGAAAAGTGCATTAGCTATATCACACTCGGTGCCTAGTGTGTGAAGCGAGTCGTAAATGGCCGAAATCGTATCTACGGCATTGCGGAGGAGGGGCGCATTCGGATTCACAATTTTTGATATATTAAATATTTCCTCTATACTGTCAAAGAATATTAAGCATTTTATATCATATCGCTCAGCCAACCTCTCTAACGCTTTCGTATAATTTCCTTCAGTAACTTGAAATGCTTTTACTGTGTGCAGAGCTTCGCCCGATAAACAACTAATTAAGTGATTAAACTTTTCAATATTTTAGAGGGAGGGCTCGTTATGTACTAAATTTGTAAAAGTGCCAATAAAGTTTTTGTAATCGGCATACTTGCCATTGAAAACCGGCAACTTCAAATTGGGCAAACGATTTGCTGGAGGAATTGCAACACTGTGTTTTCCAGAACTGAACTATCACGACTTCTATTTCGGCCAAGTAAAGAGAGTAATTTCGATTTTACAGAAACGCATAAATCTTCTAGTTCACCGCGCCTATCATCCTCCGTATCTATCTTTTCGATTTCTGATTGATAGGCCATTATTTGTTTAATATACGAATTTAAAATATCTAGCCTGCACTCAAGGTCTATTGGGTTCCATACGGTCGTAGTATCATCAAGCAAATATTTGATGCGAGTAATATTTTTGCGGGAAGAAGACCGCTATTGCTTTAATGTAGCAAGTGAAAGCGCTACAGCTTCGCTATTTTCATTGGTAAGTGGCATTGTGAATTGTTAATTAATCAAACGATATAAACCAACAACGAGAGATATGCAATATATCTTAGCCTTTAGTGACTTAAAACTGTATGCAATATACTTTTTGTTTCAAGTTAAAATCGAGTAAATCGTTTAATATTTAAAATGGTTTGTAATAAACCTTTAATTCAACGGGGCACAATAAGTTTGCCAAATTTCCAAAATAATTTTATTGAAGACCTTTAATTTGGTTGGCAATAACCCGAATTTATCACAAGCCGCTTTATCCACACAAATTTAACGACCAAGAAAAATGTTGAAATCAAACAAAATATTGACCACTTTAATACTGATTATGTACAAAGTTATAAAATTTTTCCAACTGAACGTATTATTGTATGTATTTGCAGTACCGTATAGCGAACAGTATCGCCTGAGGTAAACTATCGCGAGATTTATGTACATATATCGGCAAATCTAAAAAATAGGTACACTTTCAAAACAAAAATTTTAATTTTTAAATTTGTGCGCACACCTATGTTTTATATATCATTTTATTCGTAATCTCTTAGTAAATCGATTAATATAAGTGTAATTCATTTTCATCAAATGCTTCAAAAGTTAGACGAGAAATAAGCATGAAATAGAAAACAAAAGAATAAGCTGGGTTGAAATTACGCTGTTCAAGTTGTAAACTTTGAGCAAAGATTTTGAAAGTTGAACTCACTTAATTGGGATGTTCTAAATTCAATGGCATGCCATGTTTTATCAGATAGGCTCCGGTTTTTGAGATAACGGTACTTGAAAATTTGATTAAATTTTAACTATTTTATAAAAAACTCCCTCAGTTTTGAAGTTATTTTACTCAAATTTTGCGCATAACAGTTTTTTAATATTACCTTAATTATTCCTTAAAATTATCGAAATAGGTTAACACTAACATATAGCTCCAATACAACTGATTACTCAGATATGTGTTTTTGCGCTATAACTCTAACTTCATATCTGAATAATAAATTGTATGCGTGCTATATGTTAAATTGAACCTAAGTATACTAAATTTTAACCTGTTTAAGTGAAGGAGTTATAACGCAAAACAACGTCTCTGATCAATCAGTTGTATGGGAGCTATATGTTTTAGTGGATCGATTTCGATGATGATATGGAATAGTTAAGGTAATATTAAAAAACGGTTATGTGCAAAATTTTAGTAAAATATCTTCAAAACCCAGGGACTTTTTTTTATAAAATAGTTAAAATGTAAGCAAAGTTTCAAGTACCGCTATCTCGAAAAGTGGAGCCAATAGGGTGAAACTGAGGACGCCATTGAATTTAGAAGGCTCCAGTTAAGTAAGAGCAACTATAAGAACATTTGTCGAAAAACAGTTGCTTTGATACCATTCTCGAAATATTCTGACTAAAAGAAGGAGCATCATTAAAAGTAGTAAATCAGGGTTTTTACACCCTTCTAGAGACAAATTTTTTGAAGCATTTTACAGGTATATGTAATTTTATAAAGACTAGCAGTTATAGAACGATTTAGATCGTTTCGTCGTATTTTCCAAATGTGCCTTCAATTAAAGTGTTTTTGGAATAAAAATTACGCTCAAGATCGCAGAATATTTTATCTTAAAAGTTTGTTTATTCTGAAAGCACACCTCTTGCTAAAGGATCAAATTATTCGTAATTGTTTGTAGAATACAATACATACTTAAAAAGTTCTTAAAATTAAATGCTTCAAAACCTATACGCGATAAACCGAAAATTTTGAAAATTCTGAAATGTAAAGTTACAGACTTTGAGTTACTTGCCATTTCGTTATTTTTTAATGCACACTTTTCTTACCCACTA